TTCTATTCCCTCTTCTCTTACCCAAGCAGACTCACAGTGAAGAAGAGGGCTGAGATGTGTGGACTGTAGAGGCTTCCCATAAATGTGCACCAACTGATCACACTCAAAAAATAAAATGCCACGAATACTCGTCTAGAAGGGAAAAAAAGAATATGTCACAATAACTTGAAAAGTGGTGGGTGGCCAAGTCTACCAAAGTGATCAAATAGGCAGCACTGATATGCAATTGACAAACCAGATTTTCCAACTGCCAATAGCTAAGGAATAAGTAAATCAATATTCTATTTTCATTTTCCAGTATTGACTAACCTGTACTGACCCGTATTCCTTAATGTAATTCCAGCTACGATTGATCCAATCATTCCAGAGATTACCATTGTGAAACCAATCCAACCGATGGTTATATGCTCATTCTACAATAGCATTTAAGACTGCTGTTGATATTTAGTGCAATATTAAAACAATTAACTAAATAATTGCACGTCCATGGCCTTTACTTGTTTATATATTAGGGACTTGAGAGGAAGATCATCTGGTTACCTTGACTAATTATCAATATCCATGTCATTATTTTTCGATTTATTGAATATATTCATCAAATTGAGTAAGTTGCAGATCTGTTTACTTACGGGGAAGAACCTTGTGACTATAGGGCTTAAAAGTGTTCCGAATTCGCAGTAAACCCCAACGTTCACGCCTGTATTGAACAAAAAATTGCAGAGGTTAGAGCAAAAAAATAAATGTTTCTAGTTCCACAAGTAACTTTAGTGTTATAATTAAGTTAACGAACCAAATTCAATTAAATTATATTAGGTAAATAAAGGAAAACTTTTCTATCATCGTACTGATTCCATTTGTTTTTGGATGATCATCTCTCCAAGTTTTGAACACCCTAATCCGGAAACTCCAAATGACAACCATTCAATAATCAGTAAACTATGCCATTTTCGGCTCTTATATCTGTCTCCACTTGTCACATAAACACCAAATACAAGCACCTGGCAATCCATTCGCCTTCTAGCACCTTCTGGTACTTTAAGGAAATCTTTACATTCTCTCCAACCCATCATGGGCTTCATGATCTATAAATAGGCTAGAAGTGAGATAGCGTTGTCAGACCCTCATGACCTAGATTACATCTTTTTTTAATAGCTTTGAGCGAACGTATACTCCCACTTTCCTCTTGTTATCGATTGATCATATTCTTTCCTTTGAAATGACTTTGCTTCGCATTTAAAATTTATCTCTTATCAATTTTGAGAAATCACATCTCGGTCATCGATTCAAATACATCAATAAATCTTCAAAACAACACCTCTAGAACCAACTCGAAGAAGGTTTTGTGCACTGAAAGGGACCAGAAAAGCGTAGTCCGAATGAAGTTATGAACTTTTCTACCCAACGAACAAAATATTTTATTAAAGTATGTCCTTTTCCATCACCTATCTATTGCTCCAAACTTGATCAATCAAATACTTCTACAACTTCAATACACATTTAATAGACGAGAAATAATGACTAACCGTAACAAATCATAAGGAGAACAAAACTGAGGTTCTTAAAGCAGCAGAACACTTGATGGAAGAAATTTCGTTTCATTACTGCTGCCTCTGTGGTCATGTCATAATTTGCGATATCTAAAGACAAATATCGCCTTTTATTTACATGGTTGAATAATAAACACAGTCACATAGGGAAATACATTTGATCGAGTCTTAACTAACCTAAGTTTGAATTTGAACGAAGTTTTACATCACCGGTGTCAATCATTTCAAATTGAGGAACTCTTTTAAGTTGAGCTCGGCTTGGTGGTGTTTTTGGTCTCTCTTTGAAAACTGAGTAAAATAAATAAAACTATATGAATTGATTTACTTCAATAGCTTTACCATTGTATTCGCCACAGAGGCATTCGCCTATCTTGACAGAAAAATATTATCAGTTTTAATTATCTCGAATAAAATTGGGCCATTCAAGCTAGTTCTACCATGGTAAAGACGATTAAATTAGCGTCGAATTGGAACTGTTATTCCTACTGTGGGTAATATTATGATATGAGACATTCTGACCACCAGCATCTTTTACTAGACCTAAAGCAATCGAAAATCAGACATTGCAACTCATTTTTCGTTGATTCAATTTACGAAGGTCAGTCCCATCGGCTTTTCAACCTGTTTGGCATTCCCATAAAATTAAAAAACCGTTCTTCTCAAATTCGTGTGAATTGGGAAATTCTTATAATCCGTAACTACATAACAGCTCTAATTTAAAGGCTTCAATTTTATATCGGAATCTTGGAAGAATTAATAAATGAATTCTTGAAATGACTAGTAAATAGACTCAAGTACGAATTATGTGCTCCATGTTTCTTGCGCTTACGAAGAAAATTCAAAACCGATTGTTCCAATTTGAATATATTGCAGTTCAAAATAGACATTATAAGAAAATGATTACTCACTAATATTGAGAATGTCTACTATTAACCACTACATCAAAATGCTTCAAATTCTTCCTCGTTTCCTGAATGTCATTAGCTCCTCTTCAGCGTACTCCATATCGGTCAAGTATTTCTCTTATGAGTACAGTTCTCATCTACTTCCTATTGATTTATTCATAGAGAGGCTGAAAGACTAACAACTTAACAGATTAGTCCTTCTCACTGAAACGGTTATTTCTACACAAGTAAACACCAGTGAAAGGAGACGGTTTAGAGTTTGATATTACCTATGAGGTTATGTTATTTCTAAACCCACTTCATTTGTCACATCAGCCCATAATAATATAATATTACATACCTAGGCCTCCAAAATATCGACCAGATTTGCCACATAACCTACTTACTTTTACTAATCGTTACACATTCATTCTAAACCCTTACCTGTTACTCATGACACTAATTCATTAGTTACTGAAATATCACAATATGAACTCACAGATAAATACCGCACAGAATGCCACCAACATTCCTACTGCTCCAGAATACAGTAATGTCCGAAAGCCCAACAAAAGTTCCCCGAAGTCATTGTCAGTCTCTCTCGGAGGGGGCACCATGAGTGGAGGTAAACCGAATCCAATAGCACAACCGAACTGGAGAAAAATGTAAGCATTTAATATGTTAGTGGGTGGAATCAGAGGCCTTTAACTACAAGTGCAATGTCTACGGCAAAGATTGGAATGACTTAATTTTCTAACATAGGTCGGATAAATTGGCAGGCACAGTGCACACTTAGTAATCGGGTGATTGGGTGAGTTGGACATGTTGGAAGGGAGGGAGGGGGTTGGATGAGATGGGGTAAGAAAGGCATCATGGCATCGGGGACTATTCAAAATAACTTTGACAAAATACTCACCAAAATAAATGCAAAATGACGTTTTCATAATCACAAAGAGGATAAAAAAAGTAAGTTATGATTCGCCTTTCGACTAGGTCCAAAGCAAATTTCCATTAGAATTAACTCAATCTGTCAGCCAAATAACCGAATTCCCCACATGTTCTATTCATAACGTGCTGTTCACAAACAAAGGAGATTGGCTGCTTCCAAAGTGCTTTTATTGGTGATCTGTGGAGAATTGAGAAGTGCTAAATAAATGCTTTTCCACGTGTGGGATTTTTACGGACAGCTGGTTTCTTAAGATATTTTTCTTGTTTGGGATACCTTAGAGATTTACGATATCTGCTTACTCGGATCCCACGATCAACTTTGCCTTCCTTAGCCGAAAACAGCCTATTTAGTTAACATTTAAGCCTTTCAATTTCATTGAACCTATAGACCAAACTCATTCGAGATTACCAATCAGCTAATATTCTGTTGTGAGCTAACTGTTAAGCCAAAATGATTGTATCCTTCCAGTCCTCACATTTCTGCTATTGTGCTGATTGTTAAATAACTCTAGAATTGGCATTTGGCATTCCAGAATTGAGATTTTAAACTTCATTGTACTTTGAAAAATTCTAATCTGACTCTCCTTCCATATTGGCTATTATCTGTGTCTAAAAATTTTACCAACCTGAATAAAATCATTTTGTACCAAATTAATTACATATCTGGAATTACACAAGTTCACCCCTTCAGAAGTGAAACTTATTTTCCACCAACAACTTCAAAGGAGCTAGTTCAACTACTATATGTTGCTCCTTATAATTTTATTAATTCTGTAAAATTAATTTGAGGTATGTGTGCGTTTTTATACAAAAAGGCAATAATTCAAGGTGGTAGTATTTAATTATACATAAAAGATTATTTATTTGAAAGCTGTAAAACATGTTTTGGAGAACTAACGCTTATCTTCGATTATGCTAACGAAATATGGCCAAACAATCTAAATGCGCTTGGACAAAGGAGGATGAATAGCTTCAAATAACACAGTTAACAATTAAAAGAATGGTAGAATGAGGACGTTTCTATCACCAAAAGCAAGGATATCTCCGGAGCTCGAAATGTAATACTGAGGGCACCTCCAGGTGCACTTTAATTACTTTACTAAAACCCACTGGGTGAGTTCGACATGTTGGAGGGGAGGGAAGGGTTTGGGGGAGATGGGGTAAGAAAGGCATCATATCATCGGGAACTATTCAAATGGTCTTAACAAAATAAATCCCCAAAAGGTAGGCGCAATGACATTTTCATCTCCGATTGTAATTTAAGTGGTCAACTCTATCAGCTTGACTTCACATTGCCTACTAACATCCAATGGAGATAAGGATAATCATGACACCGGCTTCAGAGATGTGTTTACAAAATCTAAAGAGTATATTCGGCCCACAGAATCACATACCTGATTAGAAAACACCCCAATGGAAGTGGCCAGTGCAACTTCCGACTCACCGAACCACGTGGCAGCCAGTTGAGCAGGCATTCCCAGAGTGAATACTTGGGCCAACGCACAGATACACTGTCCCAACATCAGAATGGGAAAAGAAGAAAGCGCTGCAACTGTTTCAACACCATTGGGCTGCGACAGCTCCATGGAAACACACTTTATACAAGCTCCAAGGACATTGAGTCCTGCTCCAGTTATTAGAGCCACTCGCAGACCATATCGATTGAGTACCCATGTACAAGGCACCACCATAGGAATGTACATTAGCATATAGATCATGGAAAGCCAAGAAATTGCATCTTCTTGTCCCTGTTTGGAGCCTACAGTTAAGAAAGAACTGTTGTACCCCTCAGTTTAAAGCCAAGGTCGCCCAAATATAAAACTGAAATTACATTAAGCAATAATTGAACATTTATTTGTATCAAATGGCAAACTTTATGATAGTCCTCATTAAAAATTTGGTTGACTTCGGGGTGCGCGATAGACTTTCCATCACGTGATGCACCTTGGGAAGCGTACACTCACACGCAAAAAATCTATTAACCGCCAAATCATCTCGAACTACCATAATTAACTATAACTCTTTTCATTTCTACTTTAACTTCTTAATTGTATATACATATGAACAGTATTAAAAACCTACTTGGTAGAGAACCATTCCAGAAGTACCTTGTGCTTGGCATAACAATGCCAATTTGCATCCATTGGTAAGTACTGAGGGATGCTATTACTGAGAAAATTGCAAGCATAAACCATCTCCTTTTCTCTGGAACCGGATTAAGGTCTTCCGTGTCAATGGTTTGCTTTGTGTGTGGAAACAAAGAAGAGGAATCCATGTGCACGCGTACTAGGCGTGTAAGTGCAAATCCTTATGTTCTGCTATTTAAGCAGCATATTTATCAGTTTTGATAAACCAATCAGATCTCACAGACCCACAACCTCATCTATAAATAAGAAACAGGTTTCTAAACGTGGTGTTCTAAGTACTTTGAAGCTGCTAAATACTTGCACACGCACCCACGACTCGACTGATTGGTTGGATGTTCATTGTAGCTGTCCACAGTATGTTTGTGGAAGATTTGACTAGTAACTTAAGGAAAACTACTCCTTGGCGTCGTTTCCTGCTCAAGTAAATGTTCTACTTATTTATTGCCTGAATACAGAACAATGCTTACTTTCCAAGTTTGCCTCCAAACATTGATAATGTCGCCCATTCAGAAGCAGTAGTCAGTATTCGAGTGAAGAAGACCATTTAAATGACTTACGATGTTTTCCTTTCTGAAACTGTCAAGGCTTTATTGCCTTAGGGATTACCGTTGATAAGGCTAGGTAGCAATTCGCAATTAAATCTTAATCGATTGGAGAGGTGCGTTGTTTCTGTCTACAAAGACTCTAAAATCTCGTTCAACTGGGTATTTTCCCAATATGAATTATTTGAACTAGTACCTCAGTCTCAGAAGGCTTCTGTGCATATATCCTCTTGTTTTCTTCAAGTGATTTATTTTGTTGATTTCTTTTTAACTGAAAGCCCGAAATTTGTTTCCAATCTTAATTTTAAACATTTAAGAAAATCAGTGAAGGAATTGAGCGAAAGAAGGCACGTGTTTCCTATAGTATACTATTCACTTAAGCCACTTCTAATTGACAAATATAGTAAACACTCCTTTGAGATGTCAGTGCAAATGGATTTCACAAGGCCTTAAGTGGACGACCGCAGAATTTATCCGTGTACATTTACTTTTAAAAGCTAATCTAGACATAACAGAGAAGTAATGAAGTCAAGGCAACACGAAATATGATTTGAATTTTAGAAATTATGCCTCAATACGGGTACGCAAAAGTCACACTTTACAATGGCCACCATTCATCTTGCAATTTATAACAGCAAAGGAATTTAGGAAGTGCATAAATAATTGTACCTTTTTAATGCAAACTAATCAATTTAACTTATTGACTAACTATTAATGCTCCTTTAATTTCACTATTTGGTCTATTTATTCCTTGCTATTCACTTATTACTTACTTCATTTGTGTAGGGTGTGCGATGAACTTACCTCCACATGGTGCACCCTGGGCAACGTATACTCAATCGGTGCACCCTGGGCAACGTATACTCATACGGCAAAAAGTCCGTAAACCGGCAGTTGACTTCTGACTTCAAACTACCATCACTTTAACTGGCAGTTGACTTCTGACTTCAAACCACCATGACCTCACTAAACTGGCAGTTGACTTCTGACTTCAAATTGCCATCACCCCAAAACCGGCAGTTGACTTCTGACTTCAAACTACCATGACCAGATCTATTAACTGGCAGTTGACTTCTCTATGTCATATTCGAAGTCTATAAACCGGCAGTTGACTTCAAACTATCGGCAAAAAAATTCTATTAACCGGCAGTTGACTTCTGACTTCAACGCAAAAAGGTCTATTAACTGGCAGTTGACTTCTCACTTCACAAAAAAGTCTATTAACCGGCAGTTGACTTCTGACTACTCAAACGGCAAAAAAGTCTATAAACCGGCAGTTGACTTCTGACTGAAAAGGTCTATTAACTGGCAGTTGACTTCTGACTTCAAATAAAAGTCTATCAATCGGCAGTTGACTTCTCACTTCAAACTAAAGTCTATTACCTGGCAGTTGACTTCAAACTACCATGAGTAAGTCTATTAACTGGCAGTTGACTTCTGAGTTCAAACTATCATGACCCCAAGTCTATTAATCGGCAGTTGACTTCTGACTTCAATTACCATCAAGTCTATCAACCGGCAGTTGACTTCTGACTTCAAACTACGTCTATTAACTGGCAGTTGACTTCTAACTTCAAACTACCATAACCCCACTGTATGTTATATTCTACCACTTTCACAATACTCACCTCACCTTTTCTCTGCCTTTGTGTCTGTTTATCTCTCTTTTCTTTTCCCCCTCTTGAATTTTTCAAACTTTGATATTCCGCCCCTCTGTGAAGCCCGAAGTCAGCTAAAGGATTATTGATAACTATCACAATACCTGATATTTTATATAAATATATACTTCTATTGTGCTTACTACCACATTAGTTTATTTCGTCTATTTTGTACTCCAACTACAAGTCTCACAATCGACTAGAGTGATTAGGACATCACATGCGAAATTGTACTCCTCGAAAGTGACATCTATTTCAATACGAGTCCTCTCAAGTTATGCTTTGAAAATCGCCACTACAAATACCTTCCAGTTGAGTTGCCAATAACTGACAATCTCGCATCCAAGAAATCGAATCACCTGAACTCTCCTACACGTTTTCTGCAAGTACCAAGAGTGGTGTTGGCACAATGACATGGAATCCATAAATTATCTCCTCTATGACTGCTATCTTTCAGATGAGTCTACTTCATGGAGGGGGCTCATGAGAAACCTCTGCCGTCCTTATGTCTGAGTAGTATTCTTCCCTCTGGACATGCAAGACCAAGTCTTCACATTTTCTCCCATTTTATATTATCAGCAAGTTCGCTCATTGTTTACGTGTATGTCAATGAGAAAACACCAAACAATTGCCCAAGCCTCTTAACTTTATTTTAGTGACTTTACCAAAACAATCAGATGTTGAAACCAAGTTTTATTTAATGTTGTAGCAATTCACATTTCAGTCAAAACAATCTCAACGGTATAAATCAGACCCTAATTCAAGCCTCTCCACTATGCCAACTGATCAACATTTGAAACTCATCTTGAAAACCCTCATCCATCTATAGGTTGTTCGGAATTTTTCCCAAGTTGTACTGTTATTCATGTACAATGCACTTTCTTTATAAGTTCAAACCCTTCTACATTCATATACTAGATGATAGCTAAAATGAATTATTTGAATCTACTTGAACCATGTAAGAAACTAGCTTGCATCACGACGATTAGCAACGTGTTTCCAAAAATGAGGTTAGAGGAGTCGATCAATGCTCCATCAAAACTCTGAGCACAATCCGGCATGAACCGAATGATAAATAATAGTCATCCAACTTTTGTCACTAAACCAGAACCAATGTTTGCCTCCCCCTCCCATCTCCTCCCTCCCTCCCCAAATCTCAATCCACTGGAATATTTTGCCTGTATTGGGTGCTGTCGAGAATGACACTAATCACTCTACCAGTACTAC